ATGAACTTTCAATAAACTTTCCAAGGACAAGACCATTCCTATTTTATTTATAGTTTACGGTAACGCACACACAGAGAGAGATAGCTAGAGAGATAGACACTGGTTGCATAGCCTCTTAAGAGCATGTTCTTATATATTTTTTCTCTATTTTAGAACTTTCTGTGATTGATACTGCTCTGAGTAATTTGGCCAGTAGCAGAAATGTCAGTCAGAGTTAAAGCAGGGGTTTGGCTGTGGAGGCAGAGTTCCAGGTCCAGATCTGGATATCTCTTCTTACAGACTGTGTCTAGCAGTTTACTTATTGCTTATGTGCCTCAGTTTTTCATTTGTAAGTTGAGACTCATGATAGCACCTCTTTTGTGGGGTTATTTTGAGGATTGAATGAGTTCTTGTAGGTAAGAACTCATCTATTTCAAAATATGCACTGAAATGTAGGCTGAATAATGATGGTGGGCATTGGCCAATAATGTCATGTGGTGAGTGTTTTTGTACATTATTAGAAACTGTCATTTGAGTTCATTGAATATTTTTCCTCTTTACTACTTTCTCAAATTGTAAGAATCAATTAATTTCTTAGAATAACTTGTTATTTAAAATATTCACTTTAAGTAATGCTATTAAAGGTAGCTTCTAAGAACAAAATTTGATTCCATGTGTTAGTTTACAATTACTGAAATGCTTTCATGTGGAGATTTACAAATAACGTTTTATTGTGCTTTCAGTGAAAGTTTACATAGCAAATTAGATTTATCGCATATGGAGTAGGTTTTTCTCTCCCCGGGTTGTTAGCAACCCCCTGTGTGAACAGTTAGCACTGCTCCCTAGCATTTTCTTGGCTGACTCTGCAGAAGCAGGTCTCCAGGCTTTTCTTCCGCGGGGGTGGGGGTGGGGGTGGGGGTGGGGTGAAATGGCCTGGTAAAAGCTTCTGATCTCCTTTAGTTTTACAAGGGGAAGCATCAAGATCAACAGCTAAAGCTGATTCCTATGAAGTCAGCAATCGCTTCTTCTCTCCCCAAACGTTTGACCAATACTTACACCAGCCAACCATATTACAGTGCTCAGACCAGCCATTTCTCCCTCCCTCCCTTGGCACTCTGCTTCTCTGCTGGGTTCAGTAATTTATTGTCATGGCTCCATAGAATTCCAAGGCAATACTCACAATTATGGCGTTTATGAGGAAAGTAATAGGTTACAATTCAAGATCAGTGGCACCAAGGAAATAGTTCCTGGGTCAGAGCAGCCTGTTTTCACACGCACCCACAGGCAAGTCTCTTTCTGATCCTCTGTGCTAGGCCTCTGCTTGGGTCAAGCTCTGTTAATTTTCTGGAGGCATCGCACTCTGCCAGCAAGCTTGCTGCTTGAAGGCACTCAGCTTTCTTGCATGGTGGTTTGGTGTACACACTGTAGCTGCCTTGTTTTGTGTGTGGAAAACCTACAGTGCCATCTTGTGCCGTCTCCTGGTTCTACTGCCACTGTATCTCACTGTCTGACTAGGCTTCCGTGTAAGAGCTTCATCCCCCTCCCGAGGAGGCTATATATCTCACCTTATAATGGATTTCCTCGCCCACCCAGCCCACCCCCACACACCCCATCCCCTTACCCTCATGATATCTCTACTCCCACTACTGTTCCAGAGGATTTTATCTGTCCTGAATTCCATGTGTTGAGAGCTCTTATCTGTACCAATGTGTGTACTCCATTCTAGCTGGATTTGTAGGGTAGAACTGAATCATGGTAGTGGGGGTCAGTGGGGGGGGGCATTCAGGAACTAGAGCAATGATATGTGTTTTGTTGGTGCTATTCTGCACCCTGGTTGAATTGTCCCTTCCTTGTAACCCTTCTGTGGGGGCATGTCCAGTTGTCTACAGATGGACTTTGGGTCTCCACTCAATCCCCCTCTTTCACATCAATATAATTGTTTTGGATCCTTTAATACCTGATATCCCAGACACCTCATGATCGCAGAGGCTGGTGTGCTTCTTCCAGGTGAGTTTATTTGCTTCCCTGTGAGATGGCTGCTTGTTTAGCTTCTAGCCCTTAAGACCCCAGACACTACATCTTTTGACAGCCAGGCACCATCGCTTTCTTTACCGTATTTGCTTATGCACCCATTTTGTTTTCAGTGATCATGTCAGGAAGGTATCAAAGAGTGCCAGGTTATTAGAACAAAGTGTTCTTGTGTCTAGGGAGGCCTTGAGTAGAGGCCCAAAGTCTGTCTGCCATCGTAATACTTAACATAAATATATGTACATTGGCCTCTACCCCTTTCATTATAAATTTATATATTTACATTGTATATGACTATAGCTATACCTCTACAAATAGCTTTTGCCTCCTGTTTCTTTCCTTTATTTCTTTTCATCTTCCTCCTGTCCCACTAACATGCTCACCCTCCATTTGGCTCTCAATAATTCCATTTGGATATATTGCACTTGATCAAACCCCACCCAGCATTATACCCCTTCCTCGCCATCAATTTTAGATTTCTTGTTGTTCCCTTATCCCTGAGTCTGTTGGCCCATGCCCCCTCCTCTTTCATGTCTACCCAGGACCGCTGGTCCCGTTGTTTTCTCTTCAGGATTGTTTGTCCTGCCTATCTTATATAAATAGATATAGTGTGAAAGAAACAAAACAAAACAAAAACCGATAAATATTTCCAGGTCTGTCTGTTGACCCTCACAGGTATTTTCCTATTGGGTCTGATGAGGTGCCAAGCCCTGTCCCCCAAGCCAGAAGTCTATTTGCAGGATTCCTCGGGGACTTTGTTACTCTGCTCCCCTTGCTGCCCTGTTGAACTGCCTTCACGTTTCACCCTGCTGGGTGGGGGGCAGACTAGAAACACTTTCCACACAGTGTCTCAAGTGCTGTCCCTAGTAGTGCAATGGGTCAGTGAGGGAATGTTGTGACTTATGGGGTCGGCCCTACGGTCCTCTCTGTTGTCCAAGCAGGGATACCGTCCCTGAGGCTTGGTGGGCCATGATAAGGTCCATTCTTCCTCTCCCTCCTTCCCTCCCGCCTAGTTCCCACCCCTGTGGTCTGGACAGACCCGCCACTCTCTTGGGTCTGATCTTCAGTGCTGTCCTCTGTTACATTCTAGGGAGCTACGCTTGGGCCCGCCCCCCACCCACCCACCCACCCCCACCCGTGGTCCTGTTAGTTTGCTGCACTGTTACAGTCTGTTGCCCTCAAGGCTTGGCACCAGGATAACTTTTAAAGCCTAGCAGGATGACAAAACCATGGGTAGAAAGGCCATATGAAACTGATATATCACACTGTAAGTGGGTTCACACTGCAGTTTGTCATTCTGCAACTGGTGGTAAATAACTTGTGCTACCTGGGCTTTTTCTCATTCTAGAAAACACGTTTCCTCTCTCAAGCATTCTATAGTATGGTTCTTCACATTTGAATCTTACATATTTTCTACAGGAAACGATAAATAAAAACATTGGTTTGTTTTTCTGCATTCAATTGGATTGAGGTTTTTCGGTGTTTTGCTTTGTTATTGTTGTTGGGCCTTTCCGGGTACAATTTTCATTATATGAAATCCAGGATATGTAAATATAGAGAGACGGTAACTAGAATAATAGTTTCTTAGGGAAGGTGGGGAGTCACTAGGGACCTAATAACAATGAGTACCAAAAAAAAAAGCTCTCAAATTGATTGTGGTGAATGTGCTTAAACCATTGGATTGTATGATAAGCAAGTTACTTATTCAATAAACTATTTACTGTTTTTAAAAAACACATGAAAGCAGTAAACATTGTTGTATCATAAGAAGAAGAAAAGTTAAAAAGAACAAAATGTAAGCCCCTCAAAACAAAACAAATGTTATTTGTTATAAAACCTTGGTGAATTATCCAGGAAGGAATTTTTCTTCCTTGAAAATTTATTCTTGTATTTTTACAGGTTATTGTTTCACACAGAATATAATCATGCTTCATATGATGTATCTTTTTTCCCGTGGTAAATATATAAATGCCAGATCCAGAGTTTCTGTCAGAAAGAATTCTTTTTAGACCAGTTTAAAAAAGGAGAGAGAGAGAACAAAAAAGAAAAACCCTTCAATTATAATCCACACCCTCAATTGATGTCTTTTATAGTAATCGGAGTGTAGAGGGAACTGCAAATAAAATTGGCATATAATCATCCTGTGACCTAAATCTGTCAACATTCGTTTCTGTGATTAAGATGTTAATATTAAAAATACTATTTTTGGATTTCCTAATAGTCTGAAATTTGTTTTGGATCTTCGTTTTTCCATCATATTTTTTAAAAAGTCAGTTAACAAAAAAAGAACCTTGGGAAAGATCTTAAAGGGAAAAACAGCATAAAAACAATAGACACACACAGAAAAAACAATAGACAAGCTATCTGAGAAGGTTCGCATTCGTTTTCTCATGGAGCATGTCAATTGTAGGTCTCCATAGGTCTCTGAAGGAGCTCTTGTCTAATGTAAATGAGCTGTCCTATTTTTCAATCCATTGGCTCTCTGTGGTCTCCTTGAGTTCAAGAGTAGTTACCATCCTGAGGAGCTGAATCCTTTTGTTTATAATCTCACTAAATCATAATTCTTAGCACTGCAGTCCTTTTCATACACACACAACAGGATGAAAAGTTCTTGTGGGTCATGTGATAGCCCACAAGACAACAGTAGACAAAAGAACAAAATAAGTGCTTTATAAAACCCAACCAACAGAGTGGTTGGCATGGAGGAAGAGGAGAGTTGGCCTAAAAACCTAAAGGCAGATACCACAAAACAAAATCATTTAGCTAAAAGGGAAAAAAGGAAACTTGGTTTGTGTATACTTTCATGTCTTAATGGTTCTTTCCATGTTACGATTTCCTTTTCCCTAGTTGGAAAGGGCTTACTTACAGACTTGCTGCTGGGTGTGGTAACAGGGGCCTCGATATTTAATATGACTGGCCTGGTTTGTATGCGGTGGGGTTGGTGAATGACAGGTGTCTTTCATTAAAAAAAAATCTTCTTTCCTACTTTCCAGATTCTCACCTGATGGAAGACTAATCGTATCATGTAGTGAGGATAAAACTGTTAAAATTTGGGACACCACAAATAAGCAGTGTATTAATAATTTCTCAGATTCTGTAGGGTAAGAGCACCATTTTTGTGTATGCCTATGGGTTGGCTTGCTAAGAAGCATTTAATTATACCAATTTGAATAATAATAAGGAAAATTTTTAATATTAGACCATCTTACTATCTTTTTAGGTTTGCCAATTTTGTGGATTTTAACCCTAATGGGACATGCATAGCTTCAGCAGGTTCTGATCATACTGTGAAAATCTGGGATATAAGAGTGAACAAATTACTGCAGCATTATCAAGGTAACTTCTTTTTTTTTAAACATTTTATTAGGGGCTCATACAACTGTTATCCCAATCCATACACACATCAATTGTGTAAAGCGTATTTGTACATCATTTCTCAAAACATTTTCTCTCCATTTAAACCCCCGACATTAGGTCCTCATTTTTCCCCTCCCTCCCCACTCCCCTCTCCCACATGAGCCCTTGATAGTTTATAAATGGGTATTTTGTCATATCTTGCCCTGTCCGACTTCTCCCTTCACCCACTTTTCGGTTGTCTGTCCCCCAGGGAGGAGGTCACACACAGTTCCATGTAATCGGTTCCCTCTTTCCTACCCATTCTCCCTTTACCCTCCCTGTTTTGCCACTCACACCACTGGTGCTATAGGGCTCATCCATCCTGGATTCCCTGTATTTTCAGTTCCTATCTGTACCAGTGTACCTCCTCTGGTCTAGCCAGTCTTGCAAGATAGAATTCGAGTCATGGTAGTGGGAGCGGGGAGGAAACCTTTAGGAACTAGAGGAAGGTTGTATTTCTCATCATTGTTACATCGCACCCTGACTGGCTCATCTCCTCCCCGAGACCCCTCTGCAAGGGGATCTCCAGTGGCCTACTAATGGGCTTTGGATCTCCACTCCGCACTGCCCCCATCATTCACTATGGTGAGATTTTTTGTTCTGATGATGCCTTACACCTGATCCCTTCGACACCTCGTGGTTGCATAGGCTGGTGTCAAGGTAACTTCTTCTGAGCAAAAATCTCAGTTGTTGAGTGAACGCTTCTGGGCAAGCTCCTGAGCCGACTGACTGTACTTCAGTGGGGTTGGCCTTTCTGATGGGTGTCGTAGTATGCCTTTGGACTAGCTGCACGACAGTTAGTCCTCAATAGCTGTAGGATCTGGGAAGCCGAGCGAGGCAGATGCCAGAGAGGAGGGAGGGTTGGTCAGCAATTCCTCTAAGCAGCGGTCACAACCTGTGAGTCGGGACCCCTTTGGGGGTCAAAGGACCCTTTCACAGGGGTCGGCCAATTCATAACAGTAGCAAAATTACAGTTATGAAGTAGCAACGAAAATAATTTTATGGTTGGGAGGTCACCACAACATGAGGAACTGTATGAAAGAGTCGTGGCATTAGGAAGGTGGAGAACCACTAAAGCAAAGAGGAAGAGATAAGCGGGACAGGGCAGCTGGAACACTGGAAGCAGAACAATTAGAACACAGAGAATGTTGACACATTGTGAAAAATGCTCCATAGCATCATTGAAGATGTTAGCCTGTATGGAAACGGTCAGATGAGAAGCAAAATTGTTATTTAAACTTTTCCTGAGAACACAGTACAAAAGTAACTGATGTCTGAAATTTGCTTTTATTTTCTACAAATCAGTTCACAGTGGTGGTGTTAATAGTTTATCATACCATCCTTCGGGCAACTATCTCATCACAGCTTCATCAGATGGGACCCTTAAGATTCTGGACCTCTTAGAAGGAAGGCTGATATATACACTTCAAGGACATACGGTATTGACACTAAGTATTTTGCTTTTTAAATAATGTGTATTTAAAGTTTTAACCCATTGTGCTATATTTATGTTATTTTTCTAACTGTAGCTAGCATTGCTGTTTTGTGTGTGTGTGTATATATATATATATATGTATGTATATATAAAAGTTTATATTTTCTCTTCTCAAAACATCACTTAGATATTATAATTCTTGTCAAAATCCGTGTTGGTTTTTCTCAGTTGCTATTAATTTTCTACTGCTGTCTTCATCATTATATAGTTGAAGTTTGACTCAACATTTTTGTGGCTAAGCTTCTTCTCTACCTCAGCTGTTCTTTCTTCAGATGTCTCACCAACTCTGATAGTCTTGACTTTCCTCATCCCCTTACCTTCCTCTCTCACTAAGAGTTTGGAAGGGGAAATTTGGCAAGCATGGCCCAACACCTTCCTCCTCTCCTCCCCGCCTGTCTTCACTGTTTTCTTCTGAGACTTTATACAGGGAAGCTTGCCCATGCCTAGCATTGCCACTTCAACTGGATAGTCAAATCTGATTTGCTCTGGGGTTCAATTCCAGAAAGCCCATTTGTCTACAAATAAAACGTCACATTCTCTCATAACAAATTTTTATCCTTTAGAAAGGTAATATTTTGGTTCTCAATGACTTGCCAGTGGCAAAGAGGGGTGCTTTTATAGAGCTTGTTAAATAACAGCCCCCCCCACACACACACACACACAAAATGTTTAAAAAGAACCCTTTTTTAAGTGTATGAACTAGTTATCCCATGGGT